GTGAGGGATTGTCTTGTGGTGCAGGAGACTTTAATTTATTTGAAATAATTTAAATTATCCAATTACAACCATTTAGTATTAGCAGAGATGGATAGTGGCTAGCAGTGGAATCCAGTTTGACGCGCGTTTCGTCCTATTTGGGACTCGTCAGCTGGATGTACCTGCATCTCAGAGTTGATGTTCACTCTGGGACTCGAACCCAGTACCTTCGCTTCAAACACCATCGCGTTATCCACTCGGCCACTGAGTCCTGATAGCCACTTGCTTGTGCGATGGGGTGAAGTTTGAATTCACTTAGTATTGTTTGTTTGGATCTTCCCATCGATGTGTTTAGGACTGCAACTGGTCAGTCTCTAATTGGCATATGTGCATACTGTGCGTATTGCCTCGATATACCTTAATTCACAAGCATGGTAAGCAGAGATGGATAGTGGCTAGCAGTGGAATCCAGTTTGACGCGCGTTTCGTCCTATTTGGGACTCGTCAGCTGGATGTACCTGCATCTCAGAGTTGATGTTCACTCTGGGACTCGAACCCAGTACCCTCGCTTCAAACGCCATCGCGTTATCCACTCGGCCACTGAGTCCTGGTTTTTGTGTTTTTTACGGATCAAGTATATTATAGATTTTTTTTCTTTTTAAAAGGTATGCACACATCCCTGCATAGTAGAAAGGAAATTACACTGTCAAGTTTTTCTAGTTATTGATGATATCCAAATTGACAAAAAGTATTTGAAAACTATAATAGCTCACATCCTTTTGGATGTTTTGTTTCCTCCTTACTTCAGTTATATTTATAAGACTATGTAGGCTTTTCTTAACCGATTGGAGACAGTCGACAGGATATCCCGTTTAACATAGGTTTTGTACTACTTGTCACTCGTCAGCAAGGCTTGCCCTCTGCTCTCTGTTGAATTTGAACCCACTTTTATCGCGTTAACAGTCTGAGACTTTACCACCCAGTCACTCGGACTACAACTAATCTTTTGTCTGATTAAGATCTTTTTCAATTGATTGATTCACATAGATAGATGGAATTCGATGGATGTTAAAAGATCAGATGAATATGACATTGATCACTAACCAATGATCAATCAATTGTATGTTATAGAGAACAAATAATTTCAAGTTACATTTCACAAACCAACTAAAGTTTAAGTATCCCTATATAAAGTTCATAATTATGATATTTTACATACTTTATTTTGGCATTTGTAAAATATCATAAATGAAGAGTCTGATGATGAAGTTAATGAAACTAATTGTTCACTTGAATGATCTTGATTTTTAAAGTTTAAATGTAAGCTATTATTAACCATTTAACAATTACAAATAACTTAGATAATAATGCACATAACATATCGGAACTGTCATTTTTTTTATAGTATTTTAATTGTCCATTTACATCGTATGTACTTTTATTGGATACATTAGGTTAAACGTTAAATGATTTTTCTCAAACAAGGAATAATTTTCACTTGGTATTGTTTGTTTGAATCTTCCCATTGATGTTTAGGATTGAAACTGGTCATTCTGTAATTGCACAAGCAAGTGGCTATTAGGACTCAGTAGCTGAGTAGATAACGCGATGGCGTTTGAAGCCAACAGTACTGGGTTCGAGTCCCAGAGTGAACATCAACTCTGAGATGCAGGTAAATCCAGCTGACGAGTCCCAAATAGGACGAAACGCGCATCCTGGATTCCACTGCTAGCCAGTATAAATCTTTGCTTACAAGGAATAATTTTGTTATAAAATAATTGATTAGAAATCTATATTGGTAATAAAACACCAATAACTATTCTTGTGATAAGTGTTAATAACTAAATATTTTCTACATTACGAACTGATCTTATTTAGCCAACCATTAAAAAACCTGGAAGGACTAGACAACTATTTCTTTTTAGTATCGAACTTTTCGTCTGTACTCATAGACGACTCCATAAAAGATAAAATTCAATACATTAAGGTGTTCAAGCAAGTGAGATGCTGAATACTGAAAAAACATGAATGGAAACATTTTAAATATCGTCATACTTTTGTCTTTTAGTATCTTTAATCAACATAAAGTCGGAGGTAACTGCATCGGAACTCATCCACTCATTAATGTGATTTATTAAGAAATAAGTTTAAGCATCTGAACTTTCTCATTTAATAATAACTGGTTGACAGTGACTAGTGGAAAATCTTTACTAAGTAAATTTTTAATTAACTACAATCCGAATGTGCGTTCTGGGGAAATTTTGAAGAAGTCTCGCAAAAGCAATCACAAGTTTCCTAAATTATGTTAGCAGAATTAAAATCTTACTAGAAATTTTAACCCCAAGTTCCTTTCTTATAATTCAGTTCTCAGATAGGTTGCCATTGTTTTTAACTCTTTAGATTTCTGTATGATTCGGTATATTTTCGTTAATATTTATACGAAGTTGTGCTTTTTCGTTTTGTTTTGCTTGTTCTACCTAGAATATCAAGTTTTCCTACTGGTCATTTCTGTGTGTTAGCCATCTGGTGTTGATATGTTGTGTGCTAGTTCTTGTTATCGTTTTTCACAACAGAACTTATCACATTACAGTAGTTAAATCATTCCTAATCAAGCAAGTATTGTTGATGTTATGTGTGCCTCTGTTATGCCTAAGGAATTCTTAACTCACTTGTGTGTAATGCTGAAAATGCTAAATCCTACGACGCGAAATGAAAATATAACGACTGGTGATATGGATTTATTTGACTCTGGAAATAAATCAAAATTGAATACTTGTACACCACTAATCATATAATTTATCAGATTTGTGTAGACTTAACTGAGTAGTATTTAACACCAATGAATCAATAAATTATTATGTAAACACATATTTGCAATATTATACAATTAAACGTCTATAATCAACAGATCTCATTAACTAATTAAGTTAATATAATTACTCCTTTACAGGATATCAAAAACAATTAGGAAAAAAAATGTCAATTTCATATGTTATTGGCATTCCAATAGATTAAGTCATTGCTTAACATATTCCTAGGTTTGTATTAATCTTCAAATACTGAGTTTCAACAATTCTTTGTTGTAAGACATCTGATAGTATCGAATAAAAGTATCATTATTATTTGGCCCTCTTAATTAAAACATTAAAAATTCTTATCGTTTGAATCAAAACAATTTATATCAGTGGATAACATTACTTTCAATTAGATTATCATTAGGACTTAATCTAATACAAAATGTTATTTGTACATACTTATACATAGATGAAAAGTGTTAAACCGATAAAGACTGTTACCTGGCCAGATGATAAGAATGAATTAGGTCACACAAATAAATATAATGAGTAAATAGATAAAAATTCATGGTGATGTCACGAGTGAACCAATAGTAATATAGATGATAACTGCCTGAATTGATGCTCCAACATAGAAAGTAGATCAAAACATTAAAATAATGATCAGTAGAAGCTATTAGAATTTCGCTATAAGAACTGTTGGAACAATTTTGAGTAGTGACGAATGTGTATGAAAAAAGAGTGGAGAAAATATAAACCAACAAATGATGAGCAAAATATTAATATTGATAACCAATATATTATTATTGATAGTTAGTCAAATTGTATGTTAAGCATTATGAGTCGAAAGGATATAGATATGACAAGTTTCTTCTGAACATTTACTTCAGCGTTGTTGGTTCAAATTCCTATATTCGTTGTTATATTAGAAGACGAGATCAGACCCAGATAAGAAATGACGAAGGTTCACATTAGATTAATTGAAATGATTTTGATTTATTGTATAAATGACCATTTTCAACGAAGTGTGGTAAAACGGAACTATGTATCATTGTTGTCTAACCCTTTTGAAACCACGCTAGGATTTGTCTACTCATTCGTTGACCAATTCATCCTGTGATATGCTTAATATAGCTATTTTTACAACAGCAGTTGAATCGGTGTTTACATAAATGTTAGTGTAAATCTTGATGAATATCTAATTAAACAATATTTTTTGCACATCTTTGCTGTTCTTAATTAACAGTCAGATAATCCTCTAATCATACAATCAGACAATATCAGTGTGGTTATTTCAGTTCTTCATGTAAGCAATTTGTAATTCATCAATCGCCATAAAGCACTTAGATTCATAAAGTTCATACTGCTATCAGCCGAGCCATGGGAAATGTGAAACAGTTACTCTCAACAGCTACTTGTTGAAGTTAAAAATGCAGGTTATTGGATACTGGCTTACTTGTTCACATGATAAGCTAACATCGCTCAACCTGAAGATCCTAGGTTCAGTCTACGGTTTGTGACTAAACACTGGTTAAATATTTCTACGAATTTCGTATAAATGACTGACATACTTGCTGATGTTGTGAAAGTAACGATCTTAGTCTTTAAAAATAAACAGAATTGTAACCTAGCAAATGATTAATCTTGCTTGGTTTTGATTTCTACTTCACACTAAACTTAGTCAATATATCAGTAGAAAAGATGATTAAACTAATTAAACCCCTTGTCTACATGATTCCTTTATAATTAAACAAGAACTAACCGCTCAGCTGATATGATAATCCAAATAATAATACAAAATGAACAAGTGTATGCCTTCTTAAACACAAAATAATTACATTATACTGCATTCTATTGAATTATATTATGTTTTACTCTCATTTCCCTAAAATAAACATTGGAACAAAATGATTAAAAATTATAAGTTATGCACACAATTGAAACCTTACTTTATCTGTATTGATTATTAAAACATGTACGGTAGTAGTGCTCATGGATAGACACACACATTCACAAAATACTAGAAGTGAGTCTTAGGAATAAACAGAGAAAATCTGTAATTACGTGATTACTGTACTGCTTTATTACTATTATTATTATTATTATGATTCTTTAATAGTAGCATATTATCTTGTTGTCAACAGAATACGCAAAATAAATTATGACTATTAATATTTTCAGATAATAATCAAACACCTTTTTCCATGTTATGTTTAACCTCCATAGGAGTTTCATGAACAATTTAGCAACGTATATAAAACTTTCAAAAATTGAACAACCACGTCAAAGTGTCATGGTAAGTAATATTATTATTATTATTGGCTTTATTCAATATTATATTTTTGGTACAGAATAGAATTGTCAGCACAAAATATCGCAACAAGTTCCCTTTTCATATTTCTTGATCCATCCTGACCATAAATAATCAGTGATCACCAGTTAGATGTTAGGAGTTTAGGAATCGATATTTGAATAATGTTCATTGTTTTTAATTCTTATTGCCAGTCACCACGATGTCTGTGATTGTACGTTTTTGTAAATTGTACAGTGAGAGGTGACAAACTGTTCATAAACGAGTGTGAAATAGGTTGTGTGATTTATAGACATAATGTTGTGTTCAAAGAAACGAAAGACAGGTAATTTATTAAAATATGTAGATGGTAGGAACAGATAACCTAGATATTCAAGTACGTCGCCAAGTATATGAAGTAGTATGTTGATAAAGAATATTTACATTTTTTAAACATATTATCACCACTTGTTTTAATATTCACGCTCACTAATCTCTGGGTAAATAGTATTTGAAATTTTGTGTTTGTCCAATCCCTTTTTGGTGTTGATTGAATCTTATCGAGATGAAGTTGCGTCCAAACAAATCAATTGTAATATCAATTAGGCTTAAATTAATGGGTTAATTGAATGTCCTAAATTGTTCAATGGTAATGTTTAAAACGTCGGCATTCTGTTTAATATAAATTCAAATCCTTACACGAGTATCCATACCCTTTAGATTGTAATTACACCTTTTTACGTGTAAATAACGCTAAAAAAACGTGAAACCTAACTAGTTCAGATATTCTACGTTACCACTTTCAACAATAATCTAACAGAGTAATGTAGAATTAAACTTTTCTTTATCCAACAAAATAAAATGTTGAAGAAAATAACTAGAAGACTACTTCGTTGAAGTTTTAATTCAGCATTGTAAAATTTTGTATTTAAGTTCGAGTGCTTAATATTAAATTAGTTACATAACAGTGATTTAATTGATCTGTCGGTATTTGTATGGATGGACTGGAAATGACTGAGAAAATAAAATATTTTGGCTTTTTATTTCAAAAAGTTTATTGTAAAGTTATGATATCCTATCCTTAATATTCAATCGTTATTGTATAAATCATATTGAGTATGATTGTTAAACGATTACTGTTGTGACCACTGTTCTACTGGTTATATGTGACACTAGAAACGATTACAGTTTTGATTATTAAAAACACAAAGTTCAATGAATGGATCACTTTCCAATGTACCTATTATCAAGCCACTGACATTCGTATTTTAAATGTTTAGATGAGGATTTTACGATATAAAAATAGGATCACAAAAACTAGTGCACATAGAGATTTTATTAACCCTTCAAAATACGTTGTGTTTAACCAAAAACTACCCTCGTTTATACAAATGTTTTTCTTCATATACACTTGATAATGAGTTGAAAATATTACATAGAAGGAAAATACCCTGAGACACTGCGAACATATGCTGAATTGCTTCGAAGAACATAAATGTTACATTGAACAAAATTCATATTAAATTAATCCAAGAAATACCGATCTTTGCATGACGTCTGATTAGTTACTGGTACGATAGTACATAACATCAAATAGAAATGGTCGACTTAAATAGACACATTGAATTTATCAACTCTGTTTGCACATTTATTATTATCCTGGTTTAAGAATCCATAAGTTGTAGATATATTTTCTCAAAAGAAACACATAATACCTTGACTCACCTGTTAATCTCCGTTGATTTATTTGGCTACGATGTGTTATATTATAACAAACCACCAATCTCTGTTGGCTGGATTGTAAGTAGGTTATATGAAGGTACGGCCTTTCAAGCCAAGAAGTAGTATGGATTCATGAAGTTACTGACTATCGGTCTGGATTATGTTAAGCGGTTGAAGTTCTCTCTATGATGAAGATTATTTGATTGAAATTTATTAATGATTTGACACTCAAAATTGATTACAATAACCCAAATACTTTAGTTCCGTATGTTCTCTTTGATTTTCGACTGTTGAAATTTCTTCATACGTTTATGTTGCAAATTTCTTTCTTTCGAACCACCACTATCATTATTCACTCTTCGCAATAACAGCTTTATGTCAACTTCATCACATCTTAATGTTTTCATCTTATCGTACTAATGTTGTGTAACATCTCCTATCGGTATACATGTGTCAGATCCTACATTAATTCCAAGTAGTTGATTGACCGAACAACAGCACAATTAATAATTTAAATTTATTAGACATTTATTTCTTCATTTAATGCACCATGAAAATGAAAGTAGTAAAACAATACTTGTAAGTCATTGATACAAAAGCTGACATAATAATATTGTAAGTAGAATGAAATCATATGGTTCACTAAATTGATCAGATAATAACTGATCATCAGTCAGATATAAAAGATATGATTTACATCACATGCTGATTTTAGATTTACAAGAATCGCAAATCAGAAAGTTATGGACAGTAATAACCTAGGGATTTCAACCATATCGATCGTGAGGCAGTGACAATGGAAGATGACTGGGGAATATATTTCCAGTTGATTGAAGTTAAACATGTAGACGATTAGATACTGGTTTTGTACTGCAAATACTCGCTTTAACATCTGAATGTCCTTGGTTCAACCCCATGTAGGGTTGTGTTTATACATACTTATGTGAAGTTTCATTCTTGGATAAAGCGACCGTCCATACCCTCCTTGTTTTCAATAGTTATCTAGTCAAGATCAGCCCAAGATATAAACTTTGAAATTTAACTATCTCCACAAACCCCTCATAGTGATAAAAGGTAAAGCAGCACCTTTTAAAGGTATGTCATCAGTTCAACTTGCCACAATTAATTATCAATGATGATTATAGCAGACTTAATCTATAAAAAAGGAAAAGTTTCAAAAACTCATATTTTACTCTAACCTCATTCATCGTTAGTGTATAGAAAAGAAATTGCTGAAAATATGATTTTCTGTTTTCTCATATATAGTTTTTAAACTGATTGTCGTTTCAACATCAAGGAGTCCCCTCTGTAGTATATATATATATATATATATATATATATGTACGCTAATGAAAGTATATACTTTTTACTAATGAACTTCCCCAACAACAAAAAGTGTACACTTGAAGCAATAACAACGATGCGATTAATGATGGTAATGAATGATTCATTGTGTTTTAGGTGTATTGTGAAGTTTCTTTGTTGATGTAGAGTTTAGTATTTGAGGGGTTATGAATCCTTATGATAGATTGTTTTGGAGACTGTTGAACTTGGAATTTCGCACCATGAATTGACTTTGGTTACATAACTATTGAAAATAAGAAACAATTAGACGGCTGTTTCATCCCAGTTTGAGACTCCTCAACATTGTGCATCTACGATCCCACTAACAGTCAAATCTAAGACCTCCGGGTTATGTGACGCGCGCTTAAGCCTTAGACTGATGAGTTGGCATTTATTGGTTTGCATTTCCAACTTCGGTCGACTCATGATATTGCGCGATCATTATATTTGCCTAACACACGGTTGAACTCCATTGGTCATAACTTCTCACTGGAACTCTAGGAATAATTAACCCTAGAAACTAGTCATTAGTAAGCACGTAATGCCTGTTATAATGTTATTATTAATAAGCAAAGTCAATCTGTGATTTCAAAACTCAGTTATTTGGATTCATTTTAATATATTCGTTTCCAGTCATCGAAACTCCGGTTCGAATCCGGTTTCTCTTATCCTTTTTTTGGGTAGCCAGATATTGTCACCGACCCTTACTCATAAGTCATGTTTCTTTAAGTCTGTTAATTTAAATCTGTGGTTGGAAAGCGAGTTATTCACTGTTAAAATCACAGTAGAACTGTAAACTTACAATATATTACTTTCCATACACTTCAAGTGATTTACATAATAACCAAAAAAAATCGTAGGATAAATGCTTAATATTGGCTCATTCTGTCTGCTTCATTCACAAACAACACATCCATCTTTTTTCATAATTGTCTTTACGTATGACTGTTCAGATAGTAAACCTTCTTTGATTGTAATATTTGGCTTCTTACATCTTTACGTAACATATCACTATCAAAATGAAAAAAGACTACAAGTTAGTTATTTTATAATGTTAATGACTATTATGGGTTTTTTCACAAGTTGAAAAAAGCTTATGACATGAATGTACATATTGCAACTTTAAAAGTACATTGACAAATATTATCATGTTTATATTTGGTTCACAACACAACAATTCGAACTATCAGGAAGTAAGTATCAGATGACTGTTGCATAATATACAGAAACCTTGCTGTACTGTCAGTATGCTTATTATTTATCAGAGTTGAATCTTATCCCAACTTTTCAGGCAATAACTATTCTTTAAATAGTTGAAAGCATAAGTCAACTGAAGCTAGATCACCATGGAAAACCTAGAAACACTGGACGGCCGTTTCGTCCTATTATGGGACTCCTTTAAATTGTTAACGTTGCGATTTAGCACACTCATTTAGATAATCAAGAATTACGATGGAAATTCGGGTAATAAGAATACCATGGTACTAGTAATATTACTATGTACTTATATATTTACGTATATCTTATGTCTATATTTTACAGTCATCTGAAGTAAGTTTGATTGTTGTAATTCATCTTGATATTTATTTATTTTACGTTGATCAGTATGTTGTGATGTACGATTGAGTTCATTCGTTCATTCATTCATTTATCTATCTACCTATCTATCTATTCATTGTTTGTATGTGTACACGTGTTGTTTTATCTTGGTGAATAGGCATGAGTTACACTACATTACTATCATTACTATCACTCCATTGTTCATCAAATATGCAATTGTATTCTGATATCTCTTACTGTATATGTCTATATTTACTTGTATATATATACCTATACTTAAATTTTAATTGTTTCATTAAATGTTAACCACAAGCATTGTATGAACTGTTTCTGAATTTCATTTATCCACTAAACATCTCTAAAAAGTTGGCTAGTATGAATATCCCCATTGGCTAATGAAGTTTACACATTATTTATGAATGTCATTATTATCAGTAATAGTATTATCCTGTTATGTTGAGCTTTACCATAACATATCACGCATTTGGTGTATAAAACTTAACTGCCCCCTCCCCCCAAATTTCTCCATCTCCTCTTTCTTTATGAATCATTATTTCATGGTGATGCATGAATCGTCATTATCCTATTCTTGCACATTGTTCATTAACATAACTTCATTTCATTCACTTACATCCCATATTATTGGCGTGTATTGTCAACAAAATCTTACCTTTTGTCATATAGAGGTTATTCAAATTTTTCTCTCTTATTAATTCATACGTTAGCGTTGGAAGGATTTATTAGTTATTAATTTAGTTTATTTGTTTGAACAGTACCTATCCATTATTAATCTGGACGTTTCGTTGAACTCTTCTTTACTTTTTCTTGGACATAAAACCCGTTTTTTTATCCAGTTTGTTACACTGTATTTCGTTTCATGTTATTGTTTTCTGAACAGTATTATTATTAAGTTTATTATAGTCAACAGATAAATATTTGGATTATCAACTCGTAAATATTTAAGATCTCTTTATAACTCTTAGCAACTAGTCAGATTCATGAGTAAATGGTGAGATTTGTCATTTTCATTATTAAAGCAAACTATGATGGATGATTTGACTCGTTCTCTGTTCTTGCTTTTTTGTTATGTTGTTTCATAATGTCTCTAAAGTTTCTATCTTTTCCAATCTCAATTAAGTTCAGATCAGAAGGGGTTTTGTGGAGAATTTTTAGTATTTTCATAGTTGAAATCATGAGTAAAATAAAGTAACAAAATAATCATTGACATTGAAATATGAAAATGTTTTCGTCATAAATCCATCTACTTACTTATCCTTACTGAGGTTATCCACCACGTATTGGTATGTAACAAAAAAGTGTGTGGTATCACATACATTTTACATAATTAACAAAATTAATTGATAGTTAAAATCATGAGTCAATTGAAGCTAGACTACCATCGAAAACCTGGAAACACTGCACGGCCGTTTCATCGCATTATGGGACTCCTCAGTAGTGCGCATCCACGGTCCCACACCCGCGAGATTCCAACCCAGGATCTACCAGTCTCGCGCCAGAACACTTAACTAATAGACCACTGAGCAGGCATCCACGATTTTCAGCAACCGTTCGAATCTCGCGAGTGCGGGATCGTGGATGTGCACTGATGAGGAGTCCCATAATAAGGTAAAACGGCCGTCCAGTGCTTCTAGATTTTCCCTGGTGGTCTAGCTTCAATTGACTCATGATTTTAACTATCAATTAATTTTGTTAATTATGTAAAATGTATGTGATACCACACACTTTTTTGTTACATATTAATACGTGGTGGATAACCTCAGTAAGGATAAGTAAGTAGATGGATTTATAACGAAAACATTTTCATATTTCAATGTCAATGATTATTTTGTTACTTTATTTTATGTAATGTCATTGTTAGAAATTATCTTGAAATATCCAAAAAAACCCTTCTGATCTATAATCATATGCTCACTAGTGACTGACTGTAAGGAATCTTTCCTTGAATTCTAGTGGGAAGTAGTGACCAGTGGAGTTCAACCAAGTCTGTTGTAGAGATATCAACTCATGGAAGATAATTGTTGAACGGTTGCTCAACTTCATGGATCAGTTGAAGTTAGACATTAACAACTTTGGATGCCGGCTCAGTGGTTTATTGGTTAAGTGCTCCGGCGCGAAGCTGGTAGGTCCTGGGTTCGAATCTCGCGGGTGTGGGATCGTGGATGCGCACTACTGAGGAGTCCCATAATCAAATGAAACGGCCGTTCATTGTTTCAAGGTTTTCGATGGTAGTCTAGCTTCAATTGACTCATGATTTCAACTATGAAAATACTGAAATATCCACAAAAATCCCTTCTGATCTAAAATATAATTGGAAAATGTAAATCAGTTGAAAACTAGTTAGAACTATCAAATCCATTTTGGGGAGATTGACTAAGTTTATAAGTTATATTTACCACAGATTATTCTCATTCAGGATATCATTGGAAAACAAAGAGCACTGGGCAACTGTTCAGTCCTATTGTGGGACTTTTTAAACGTGTCCAGCCAATACACTGTTACCAACCGGATCAAGAACCTCTAGGTCTCGCGGCGAACGTTTTACCATAAACGGTGGAACAGCTGTCCATTGCTACCTAGTTTAAAATGGTAGCCAAACTGAGATCAATCGATGATGATAACAACTTAATAAATAGAACTGTGGTCAAGAGTAATCACAAATTTTGAATACTGTATTTTTTCCTAAGCTTTTAGATTGCATTACACTGAGTGGTTATTGCTATTATCATAATATAATATATATTATTATTTACTGTTAAAAGTATTAACATCGTTGTACAGCAACATTTACTTATGTATTGGAATTTACTTGAAACATATTCTAAGTCTATTTACCCACGTTTGACCTCCTATTTCCAATGTTTAACTATTGATAAGAGTTTTGTTATCGTAATTTACTATTCTTACTACTATCAGTACACCTGTCTTCCCACTATCAACTTGTACTTTTAACTATTATTATGCTTGGTAACGTATTCTATTTCATTTTGATTATTGACTGAAATAGCCTTGATTGGTCTAACATTTTCGTATAAATATTCATATATATTAGAGTAAAGCCTGATGACGATCTAATTGAAAACAATTGTTCGCTTACATGTGTTGTTCTAACATATCTAACTGTATTAATTAATTATGCATGAGTACAATTGTGTCGAAAAAATTAACAAAACTTGCAAAATAGCTAATCGGTTAACAAACATTGTACTGGGACTATCTTCTAGTAATATAAAGTTGTTAACTTTCAATAGATCATGGGTTTAAACTGTTATGATCTCTCGAAATTTCTTCAGTAACGTCTTGAGAAGTTAGGAAAAAGCTGAAATCTTCAGTGCTTACTTTTCTCAAACGTTTGACATTTAAATATGAAAGAATTAAGGGAATCTAGAAAAGGAATAAAATGTCATTGACAGGTATTGAAATAGAACACTTATCACTAACCCTGTTTTACCTACTTTATTATGACTCAGTACTGAATAGATCAATTCTTTCTTAATAACTGATTTATATAATATTCTTAATTTATAATGTAACAAAACAGTATCCTATTGGTGATCTTAGGTAACTTAAATATTTATCTGAAGGAAATGATTAATATCATAACGAGAAAAAAAAGAAGAGACGCAATATTTAACTATTTGATATATTTAGAAGGGGGTTTTGTGAAGATTTTAGTAGTTTGTATATAGTTGAAATCATGAGTAAAATGAAGCTAGACCACCATGGAAAACCTGGAAGAACTGGACGGCCGTTTCGTCCTATTGTGGGACTCCTCAGTAGTATGCATATTTAGGGACATATTTATTTATCATCAAATCTGTACACATAATTCAATGTAATCAAGTTTTATTCCTATTATAAGTACCATTATTAATTATTATGAAATAGTTTATTTTTCTCCGAGTTATTTATTTTTTCGTTACTATCACTTGTATTCCAAAATAAAATAAATGACCTCAGGCTGAAAGTTTCTAGGGTTATGAAACATCAATCAGTGTTTACCGTCATTATCATCATCATCGTCATTCATATTTAATTTATGAATGTATTGTATAATTTGCATAATTAAATTGTATCAATATGGTAGGTATACAAAACAATGTTTAAGGTATATCGAGGCAATACGCACAGTATGCACATATGCCAATTAGAGACTGACCATTTGCAGTCCTAACAAATCGATGGGAAGATTCAAACAAAGAATACTGAATAAATTTAAAACAATATTTTGTTACCAATATTAATAAACATTAAATGTATATTTAAAGTTAATGGTGTAAACGAATATGATAATGATGTGTATAGTCTAATTAAACAATTAATGTAAACACATTTACTAAGGATTTGAACAAATAGTAACGTGAATTATTTTTCACGTACTATATGGATATAAAAAATAAAAGTGATAATTGGCATAGTGGATATGATTAGTTAATTTCATAAATTATCACGCCATGGTTTCATAGATTGATTATGTACGTATGAAGTAGAACGTGATGTAAGATGTACGTATGTTTTGAGGATAATGACGATAGTAAACAATGCATACAATTATAAGAAAAGGCGGACAGTGGATAGCAGTGGAATCCAGGACGCGTGTTTCGACCTATTCGGGACTCGTCAGCTGGATGTACCTGCATCTCAGAGTTGATCTACACTCTGCGACTCGAACCTAGTGTCTTTCGCTTTAAACGCAATCGCGTTATCCACTTAGCTACTGAGTCCTGATAGCCACCTTCTTGTACAATGGGGTGAAGTTATATTCACTTGTTGTTTTTCACTTGTGTCTTCCCATTGTTATTTTGGACTGCAACTGATCAGTCTCTTGTTGGCATATGTGCATCCTATACGGACTGCCTCGATATTGCCAACTAGAAACTGATCAATTGCAGTCCAAAATAACAATGGGAAGATACAAGTAAACAACAACAAGTGAAAGAATAAATTAACGTTTGAAGAACGATGTGGCTATC